AGATGAACTTTACCAAATTTGCAGAGGTGTGGAATACTGTCATGCAGTCTTGCTCATAGAGAGGACACTTAGAACAGTGGATTAGTTCCCACTGTTTTTCTTAAAGGGATACTGCTTGAGTTTGGAAGTAAATACCATGGGAATAAAATCAAATTATAACCATGTTGTCTTTTGAAAGAAAGGGACTTAACTGAAGCTAACTTATTTATCTGTAGTGCTACTTCAAATCTCCAAAGGCACATTATTCCAGTATCTTATTTATGGTCAACATTATAAGAAAAGAACCACAATGATACTCTCATGGTGTGTATATATTTAAATATCAACCAGACCTGGGCATGCTTTCAAATATGTGTGGACCATTATTTTAATTTTCATGTGAGACATGTTTTCAAAATATGCCCCTTTTTTTATTGCTTCACAAATATTTGCTTTGTCCTTCTGTTTTAATGAAAACTGAGGCCACAAAATCCTCAATCTCATGCTTCCTTATGTTTTATTTACTAATTTTGGGGAGAGGGTTTTGCTATGAATCTCAGGCTGTAAAGCAATCACCAATCCAATCCTTCCTCAGTCAGAGTTTTGGGATTATAAACAAGAACATCTATATTATATTGTCTTCTTGAATATGTTATAATGAAGGAAAGATAAAAAAAAGAGAATGAGGAAAAGAAGGAAGGAAGAAAATAGCATCTGTGTTTACTTTTCTTTCTTCCTCTCTTTTTTATTGTCAAGGTTATGTACAGAACAGTTAAAGTTACATAAATAAGGTACTAAGTACATTCCTTGTCAATCTTGTTACCACCTCCCTCCTTTTTCTCCTATTTTCCCTCATCCTCCCCACACCTTCCCAAACTGTACAGATCATTTCCAACAATTTGTGCTGTGAATATCACCATTCCCTTAGTTTCCTCCTTGTCTATTTTCTCACCATTATGTTGTTCCCCTTCCCTTCCCTAATTAAGATAAATATATATACAACACCAAGGTATGAGAAACAAATACAGTGACAACAGGGAAGATACATAGTGAGCAGAACATACAAAAGAAACAATATAGAATGAGAAAAACAACAACAAAGAACAAGCACTTTTGTTCATGTCTTGGAGTTCATTTCGATTAGTATCATCTTATATGGTCATATGTACATAGGTATTGAGTTATTCTGCTCATCTGCTAAGATTATACTTGAGGTATGTGCTAATTATTGTAAATAAGGTAAACCATGGGACCTATGTTTCTTTGGATCTGACTTATTTCACTTCATATATTTTTCCAAGTCTTTCCATTTCCTTATAAATGGGGCAGTGCCATTCTCTCTTACTGAAGCATAGAAGTATACACACACACACACACACACACACACACACACACACACACACACACACATTTTCTTGATCCATTCATCTACTGAGGGGCATCTGGGTTGGTTCCATACTTTAGCTCTGTTGAATAATGCTGAGACAAACATAGCTATGTGTGTTGTTTTTATTTTTTTGTTTTTTTTTCTACTCAGTTTACTTTAATTTGGAGACAAATTTGCTAATTTTTATGACATCTGCCTTTGCATCTTTAATGGAGAAAATACTTTCCATCCTTAAAATATTTTGAACTCTACTATCAGAAGACCTTGTCAAGCTTTCTACCACTGCTCAAAATTTTGTTGTTTCTTTTATTCTTCACTCATGAATATTAAAGTACTATTTTAGAGCATCCTTGTGCAATTCTCCTTAATTCATTTTCTATAAACTAAACTAATAATCTACTAATGTATTTTAGGTATAGTATTCCATTATATTTTATACCTGTTGGTTGCCAAAGTCCCTACAGAGCGCAACTGCTCTATAAATAAAGATATTCTTTTAGTAAATTCTTAATGTTTCCATTTATAATTTTATTTAGCCAATCAATTTCTATAATCATCTAAGTTTTTATTCCTTTATATCAGTTTTAAAACTCATGTTTATTTCACCTATATTGTATTTTCCTAACAAAAAGAAAACAATGCGTCATAATAATTCACTTTTTTTGTTTGCAAGGTTCTTTTTTTCAAATTCATATTGAAAGTTTTGATACACAAAGTGTTCCATTGATCAGCAGTATTGCCAACACTATATACAGACTACTATAAAAATAAAACATAAATACAGCTAGCTGACATGACAGTAGAATATTATTGGAAAGCAAAGATTAAAAAACAAATAATTCCCAGGAAACACTTTAGAAACATAAAATTAGCATTAGATTGAATGTTAGAAACCTTGTCAGCTCTTCCTTTGGCATAACAGAACTAAGTACAATTGTATAAAGTGAGAATTAAAAACCCAGGGCTACTAAATTTATAAGTTGTTTTTTTCTTGTATTGTATATTAGCATTGATAAGTGGAAAAATGTAACTTAAATGATATTTTTTGTCCTTAAATTATCCACAGAATGTATTATTTTAAGTGAGACACATCATATTAGTAACAAGCAGGTTTATTTTTAGTAAAAAATGCATCATAATAATTCACTTTTCTTATTTCTAAAGAAACTAGAATTTGAGCAATTCTGTGTCAGAACCTTCATTTAGTAAAGTTTCTTTAGTTTCAGATTTCACTGGTAGTCAAAGCTTGGATAAGGATGTGTGAATGAGATTGTTTATTAGTACAGGATAGTTTTTGTAATTGTAATAACAGTTTTCTACAATTATATCAATGTGATCTTGTGCAAGAATGAGTAAAGTTCCAGTCTGTGGCCTGCATGTGCATCACACAGTTCCAAATTCTACTTTTATAGTCATTGTGAACTGGGATTTTGTTCAAATGTCAGAAACAGTTGGATTAGCTACATCCCATCCCAGAGAACCAAGTCTCTTCCCAACCAATTTTGTGTTTCCTTACACATTATTCTTCCTTTTTCTTCCTTATATCATTTAGGGCAATGATTTGTCCAAGAAAATTGTGTACATCTATTATCTTTTTTCACTGCCCATTGCACATATTCAAAAATTTTTGTCCTAATATGAATGTTGATACTTAAAACAAGATCTAACTTTGTTCTTAGTTTTGAAGTACTATTGGAAGTTTATTTTACTTGTTTGCCTTCAGAATGAAGTACAATGTAATCTGTTCAAATACAGAAAGATATTTAATCTCTAATTATTATATCAACCCCATAGATAGACCTTAAATCATTAATACTAAAAGTGTATTCTCATTAGGCTATTTCATATTTAACAGTATCCTCAAATTTTTTCTAACCTCGCCAGATAACAAATGAGTCATACCTATAATCTACATACTCAGGAAATCAGGGAGTTGCTATTCAAGAAATCAACTCAGGGAGAAAGGCCCTATAGACTCAATCTCCACTTAAGCATCTTGCTGGGTAGGGGGCATGGCTCAAATGGTAGTATGACAGACTTGAGCAAACAATTCAACACACCTGAGACCCTGAGTTCAAACCAAGGTACTGGAAAAAGGCAAAATAGAAAACAAGGAAAATACCCTCTAATCCTCAAGAATTTCCCAAAACTGGCAAGGTGCATAAGATGTTTTTTAAAAAACTCTTAATATAAAGACATTAACACACTTGTGCAAAAATAATGAGAGGAAGATAGTGACTCTTGTTGCTGTCTAAAAGAAAAATTAATACATGCTTATCACAGAACAAATTCTAAGCCATCTATGGCAACTATAAACCTATCTCAAGAAAAACACAATTGAATTAAGGAAAGAGACATACTGGAAAGACTAAAAGTAATAATTGACCTATTACAACTAATATTACTGCTACCAAGAAGAGATCTAAGCACGTATATAATGGTAGGAACTGAACTAGTCTGGAGCTATCAGTGTCAAACTTAACTTTATGGTAAAGTACACTAGGGTGGAAATATACATCGTCAATTCAGAAGTGATGAAACAGCTGTAAACTCAGAAGTTGTAAACATTTCAAATTTAATTGATTTATATTTATCTCAAAACTGTGGTTTAAAGCCCCTGTAGCTAGGTAATCTAAAAGCCAAGACTTGATCCAAGTTTCATCTGTCTTACTGTGTATACAATAAGCTTTCTAACTGTTTGTAGCTCCGGTTTTCTCTTTATTCAACATGTCTCTTCTATCTTTCTCATATTCACAACAAAGATCATCAGAGTTTCCACTCCTGTACCACTCTGTGGTCTTGTCCCAACTCTGCCTTATTCTCAACCGAACCAACTGTCTTCATTCTTTTTCAGATTCATTTCTCATCATATAAAGTTTAGATATTTCCTTTTCTAAAGGTTATGTTAACTCTTCTCTCACACATCCCTGGAAAATTCTACTATATTTAAAGATTTTACCCCACCCATCCAAAGGTTTTTAACAATATGCATATATATCCATATATACAAAATGGAATTTTAATATATTCATCTGTTTTCATTAGCCTGGAAGAAGAAACAATGTGGCAAAAATATTATACACTAAGAGTGAAGTACAAAATAAAACAAAGGAAGAAAAAACTGTTGCATTCCTTTTTTGTCTTTTTGTTGATGCAAATTTTTTTAACATAAAATTGTTTGAACTTGCATAATTCTTTGCCATTCAGTACATCCACATAACCAGAAAAGCACCTCAATTACCTACATCTCATTTTTGTTAACATGAGACAAGATTATATATGTCAACCTGATATACACAAAACTGATTATTGTTTGGTTACACCTCAGAAATTCCAAATTAATCTGTAATGTTTCAGAATACTTACCAGTATTCAAGGAGAAAGGAGCATTTGCTGGCATAACCAATAATGATGTTCATATATTTACAAAAGGCAAACACAACAGGACTCTAGTGATTTTACCAACATATGAACTCGGTGAGAACTATGTTTCTTAAAAACTCTCCAACCATTTTGTCAGATTTTTCATACAGTAAATATCCATTAATACTGCCAGACTAAGCCATCTGACAATACAGATAATGGTACCAGTCAGTGATAAGACTGTGAAGTGAGTGAGAATGACACTTATAACTCAAAGGACAGAAATGGCTTTCAACCTCCTTAGAGCCATCTTCATGTCCTTATTTCTCAGGCTATAGATGAGGGGATTCACAGTGGGTGGCACTACAGTGTAGAAAGCAGAAACGATCAAATCAAAGGTTGATGGAGACTTAGGCAGTGGGCGTAAATAAGCAAAAGTCCCAGAAGAGAGAAAGAGAGTTACAACCATGAGGTGAGGCAGGCATGTAGAGAAAGCTTTGGCTCTGCCTTCTTTGGAGGGCATGTTCAATACAGCAATGAAAATGTGAACGTAAGAAACATCAATGAACACAAAACAGCAAAAGTCTAACACTAGGCTGAGCCCAATGACTACAATTTCTCCAATGTTGTAAGAACAGGACAGGGAAAGCAATTGTGGGACATCACAGAAGAACTGGTGAATATTATGAGGCCCACATATGGGGACAGAGAAGGTAGCAGCTGTGTGAAGAATCGCATTAAGACCTCCGCTGACCCAACAGGAGGCAGCCATCTGCACACAGGCCCTGTGGCTCATGAGGATCTCATATCTCAGTGGGTAGCAGATGGCCACATAGCGATCATAGGACATCACTGTCAGGAGAGATACTTCCGTCGTAGCCAAGAAGAAAAAGAAAAAGACCTGGGAAACACATCCACTGAAGGAAATGGTGTTGGTGTTGAGCAGAGAGTTGGTGATAGATTTGGGAACAGTGATGGAAATGAGGCAGAGGTCAAGAAAGGACAAGTTCTTCAGGAAGAAGTACATGGGAGTGTGCAGCCTGCGATCCTGGGTGGTGAGAATGATGATGAGAAGGTTCCCAAGGACCGCTGCCAGGTAAATCATGGAAAAGACCAGGCCAAGCAAGATCTGGAGCTCTGGGACTGTGGAGAACCCTGTGAGGAAGAAAGTGCTCCCAGAGGTGGAGTTGTCCATTATTCCAGATACTCAGTTACTCTAAAAAATAAATATAAGAACTGTGACTGCAGTGTAAGCATTACTGTTTTTTTTGAAACTTTCCATTCTCTCATTTGAATATGCATCCGCCCTACTATTTCAACTCACAGGAAAATAACACCACAGGTCCACCAATGAAGTCATTTACCAATGTCACTTTACTTTGTATGTCTAAAGAGGTGTATAGGAGCAATCCATATATATGCTCTACCTTACAGTTTTATCTAGATTGACTAAATTAATTAATTCCAACTCTTTTTTTTATTTTGGTTGGTCATGGGGCTTGAACTCTGGGCCTGGGCACAGTCCCTCAGCTCTTTAGCTCAATACTAGCACTCTGCCACTTGAGCTACAGCACCACTTCTGGTTTTCTGGTGGTTTATTGGAGATAAGTGTTTCACAGACTTTCTTGCCTGGGCTGGCTTTAACCCGCGATCCTCAGATCTCAGCCTTCTGGGTAGCTAGGATTACAGGCATGAGCCACTGGCACCCGGCTTCTAACTCACGTTTTGAGATGATTTATACTGAGAAATAGATACTTAGGTATTGATCAAATCAGTACAAGCATTATTGGGTTTTTCATTAAACATGAAAGTTTTGGGAAACTTTGGACTTGGTTTTTTTTATTTATTGCTTTATTTTTTATTATAAATGTCTACTTATTCTTCATTCGGAGGAAGTACTTTTGACTAAGTCATAGAGTATGACAGATTGTAGTTAACCTTTTGTCATAGAAAGTCAAACACATTATGTCCTCATCCATGGAGACTAACATCTTATACATTAGAGAGAAATAGTAGGATAGAGTTTGAAGATTCTAAATAAGGAAAAAAAATAGGTAGGAGTAAATATAATTGGCATTCCATAACCCATTTTTTCTGTGTTTATATTCAATTCAAGGTTAATAGCCTTTTCAAAAATAATATTCTTTAGCACTTCACATGCCTAGCAATTGCTAACATAGTCTTACTACATGGTAAGACACAAAACATATTAGAAAAATGTAAGTGATTTGGTTCATACATAACCAAAAGCACCAATTATGTTTGTTTGTATGTTTATTTGTTTGTTTTCTTTTTAGGCCAAGAGACCTGGGCTGTGTCATTGAGATTTTCAGCTCAAGGATAACACTTTATCAGTTTCAGTCATAGCTCCACAACTGGTTTTCTGGTGAATAATTGGAGATGAGTCCTATGGGCTTTGCTGCCTGAGCTAGCTTAGAACCGAGATCCTCAGATTTCAGCTCGTGAATTACTTCTGTCTAATCAGCTATTCTTTATTCTTTTTTTCCTGTTAAAGTTACCTGACTGAAGATTGCCAAAATGGAAGTAACGTATTGGAATTATATAATATATTATTCACACTCATTTCTTACAAGTCCTAATAATCTCAACAAATTACCCATTACTTCTGTGCACTATCAGGAACTGCTCTAGTGAACTGTGAAAGTATAGCAAAATCATTTAATTTCCAGTACAAATAATTACCAATGGATTTGTGGTCAATTGGCCAACTTTCTTTCTGCCTTTGTGTAAATATAGCTATGTTGATACCTGACCTGCCTTCATTTTTTCCATCTCTACTCAGGAATAAGAACTATAAGTGTAACTATTATGAGTCCAAAAAGCTACTCTCTTCACCAGAATTGTTCTATTTTTTAAGTTTCTCAGAGAAAGAATGTTTTCCACCATCATAATTTTGTGTTACAATATTTTAGGTGGAAAATACTTGTTAACATTTAGTAAATTGTTTTAAATATCCATCTATAAAAATATCATTCTGAATAATTGACCTGTTCAAGATCCCTCTCTGAGGGATTTTCCCTTGTGTTACCACTTTCAATCCTACTATCTACTTTAATGCATATAAATATTTTTCTTGAAACATATTAGTGATAAATCAAGGAAATCATTTCATGTCAGAGAAATATTTTAGATTTTTATTCTATATTATTATTGTATCATTCAAATAGCCAAACAGAAATCTAGCAAAAATATCATTTTTCTTATTTCAAATTGAATAGGCTTTGGGGAAAATTACTGGAAGCTCATGTTCTACTAAGAGTCATTGGGTGCACTTGACAAACAGTGAACTTATGATCTGGCCTTGTGCATTTGGGAGCATATTAAACAAAGATTTTACTTATGCCCCCAAACAAATCACTATGATTTGGTCTTACTCTGTCAATATAAACTTCATACATTTAAATTGGCATTTCATCCATGCTATCATTCTATTTTCTATCTATATAATCCACTCTATATGTCCACAAGTTATCTTCACATATGTCCTACATATAATGATGCATGATATTTTCTGTAACAAAACCAATCCAACCACTGGTCAATGCATTAAAGGCAAGCTATTTTTTAATGACTTTCAATTATCAAAAGATGATGATATATATTTTTTTAAATTTTCTTAGATGCTAACAACAGATATTTGTTTCTTAATAATATCTTCTGTCTGATACCTCACCACATGTTTTCAAACTTTGGCCCAGGGCTCAGAAGTACCATTCTCACCTTGAAACTTGCTAGAAAGTCAGGACATGAAGGCCTACTTCAGACTCTCTGAATCTGATCCTTGAGAGTAGATGCCAGTGAGGCGTTTGCTAACCATCCTTCTAGATGATTCTTATGCAGGCTTGAGATCAAGAGCCACTGTTTCACAGTACTCTGCTTCACATTTCTTTCTCTTTTACTAGAAATGTAGTCTTTTCCTCTTGAATGTGATCTTAATAAATCCTGAACTGGAACTGCAATCCTCTGATAGTAAGACCTCCAAGTAGGTAGGATGATAGGCCACAGAAATTGTGCACTGTTTCAAAATGAATTTGAAGAAATGTGGAAAATACAATATTTAAGACTAAAAGGGCATAATTTAGGAAAATAATAGCAGCCTTCCTTAGGGAATAGTAAGCCTAAATAGAGTAAGATGTTTACAAATGAGTTGTACATGTCAATGCTTTACCCAAAAAGGTTTGGTGTGTGGTTGGTAGGCAGATCAGGGAGATAGTGTGGTGAATGGACAGCAAAAGCATTTCAGAATTTAAAGTGGAGAAGCAGAATGTCCTCAGTATTTTTAAAATGTATTCTATATACTGAGAAAGATACCTTTGGAGACAGAGAGACAAATGATACTATTATTTTTTAGATTAAGTGATCACAAGAAGTATGAAAAAGGAAGATAAATTACAAAGTAATGAGAAAGCAGATGCAATCCATGGAAGATTTGAATTGTTATGGAGTGAGTGAAAGTGAGATGATTGAAAGTAGAACAAACTGTAGATCTATAGTTATTTTCTACCTGTTTTCCCCACCTATCAAGGGAGTTCAATCCCACTTCCTCATTGTGTCTCTATTTCTTGCCATGGTTCATCTTCACTAGATCTGGCCTTGTCTCAAACCCAGGGCTAAAGTAACTACTTCTGATAATTAAAAATTAGGAAACATGTTATGCTCTGGTCTGGACATTTTATGTCTCAACATAAATTCTCTATTCATTCTTCGCTAATAATGGAAAAAGTTTATTGCTGGTGTTATAAAAGTCACTGAATTGCTGTATGGCAGTTCAAATTATTTGTCTTGGGAGGGAAAATGCTTCTTTGTCTCTGGAAATACAAACTTTTCAAGGTTTATTCACTCTGGATTTGATGTCTGACCTGAACAGGTCTATCTAGTCACATCCTTCCAAAATTCTTGTCTTCCATTAGAGTAACATTTTGGCATATAAAAACCTTTACAAATTCAGATAAACTGTTGAAAGTCAATTTTAGTTACTACATTTTAAGGCCAATGAACAATTTTAACATAAACTGTATGTCCTCTTATTTGAACACTAAACTGTCAGATCAATTGATCATATGAGGTAGCCTGTGTCAAGAACATGTGGAAATTATCCCTACCGTCTGACATTTAAGCAGTAGGTTTGCTGTTTTCACAATATAGGACATGCAAATATCTGCATTTGGGCAGGCATACTAAAGGCAGTGATACCTCTCAGTTGGGAAAAAATAAACTATTAAGAAAGTGAGATCCTGACAATTAAATACATCAGCCACAACCTTATACTTTTTCCAACAATTTTATTATATTCAATCATTAACATCTATGCTATAAAGTTCATTAAAGCCCATACAATAATTGTATATACACATGCACATAGATATATGCATACGTTGCTGTGCATGGATATATACATATGAGTATGTGTTCAGGAAGAGTTCAGATCTGGGGCAAGCCTAATACCATGTTACACATAGATGTTGGCAAGATATAGACAGGGTGGTCTCACTCCGTAGGACTCATCTGTGTCTCTGGTTGCCTTAATGTAAAGTTTTAAAAGTGGTAGCATATCTTTCCTCAACATTGGTTCATCTCTTTATGGAAACAGACTTCATACTCTAGGCTTTCTTTCCTGAGGTGGATGTAATCTATCAAAATCCAGTGGATGAGTGGAGGTGAATATTAGATATTTTTACCTTGTATGTCTTGTATGAATAAAAGGGAAATGTAATTTGCCAGGAGATGACCTTAGCACTGGTGTCTTTGTAATCTTAATCTGTCTACTTTTCTAATATTCCACTTCTGTGATTAGCAGCAGCTTCAGTCAAACACAGTTTATAGACTTGGAGATATTTACGGAATTGGTACTTACAGAATTGGAGATATCTGACTAGGGTTACAAAGAGAAGTGGGAGGCAGAAGCTGGCTCTGAGCAAGGATGAGATGAACTTTACCAAATTTGCAGAGGTGTGGAATATTGTCATGCAGTCTTGCTCATAGAGAGGACCCTTAGAACAGTGGATTAGTTCCCACTGTTTTTCTCTGTCTTAAAGGGCTACTGTTTGCATTGGGAAGTAAATACCATGGGAATGAAAAACAAATTATGTCCACGTTGTCTTTAGAAAGGAAGAGATTTCATGGGAGCTAGCTTATTTATTAATAGTACTTCTGCAACCCTCAAAAGGGATGTTA